ATCTCATTTAGAAAGGCCACTTCGACTAAACACGCTTTCCGTTAGTTTTTTTGAGCATTGCATCAGTACTTACACGAGTAACTGTTTATGTTGATTGATTTAGCATATATGTTTTCGCTTCTGAAACCCATGCGATGTCGCATCGGCATGACAAAAATACCAACAACTAGTTGAGACGGTCATAATATTGCATGCCGAATTAAAGCCGGATTATCTCTGCTTAGGGGAAAAGACATAAATCATTCACGCGCGAACCTAATTCTGGTGTTGCAAATACCGGTGATCACATGTTGTGGGGCACCAAAGTTCTTCATAATTGTGACACCTAAGTTTTCAAAATACGCGTGTTAGACCTAAACGATGCTCGTTTTGGAAAAAAATTAATTCAATCTGAAACAATGCGTTGAGCTGCTTACTGTAAAGAAAAGAGGTTTCATTAAGATTTTCCCAACTTGCAAGGCCCGATTGTGTGAAGTTGCACCTTTTTTGTCACTCATCCTTCGTTTTAAAACAGCTGACATTTCCGACTTTGTGGCTTTTTAATTGTTATGAATTTTTCTGCAAAACATGGCCCAAATTAGGTCCCTCTGCCAACTTTTATGTATATTGTTCGTTAAAGGTGGAATATTCATACCCAAAACTAGACGGTAACGGTGAAGGTGGTTTACCCGAGGAGTGGACACATTTGCCATCATTAGCATTGCCTGATGGGGCACATAATAACGATAGTGGTAGGTAACTTGGTTTTGTCATCAGTCTAATTGGAGCTACATGCGCTATCTATTTAGATACCATCTTCTTCATCCTGCCGTCTAGAGAACATTCAGGTGAAGCCATCTTTGGAATCTCATGTTATCGACAGATTGCTGCTGAAGTGAGTCATAATACTTGATCGTATTTTGACTTTGCTTTCTTCACTGTTTTCATCTGGAATTAATACTGTTTTTTTGTACTTTTCTTTCAATATCAGTTTTGTTTTACACTACTGCACTTCTTTTCTTGAGGAACTTGTTGCAAAAACGAGTGATGTTACGAGAAGCACCGTACAGAAGAGTGTATGTGTGCTGTCACGAGCACCATTGTTTGGAGCTTTGAGAGCCAAGCTTGAGGTCATTACCCGAGCGTATTTTGCAGAGAGGGACTTCGCGAAGGTTTGATACATACATAAATGTCCTGTTTTTGCGATAATTGATTTATTAGTTTAGGTTGAGGTGCTCTCGCAAATGTACACGAATTTGTGCGAAATGTTCGATAGCGATGTCATCGATGAACAGGCAGCAAGCATAGGTAAAGAAAATCCAAGAGGTCCAAAATGATCCCAATGGATGCAGAATTTGATCTCGTTTTACAGATATCTCCGTTCAAGAATTATTTCTTTGCTTTCGGCATCGTGCCCTACTGCTTTTCAAGCTTCTTTTGCTAGAGAAGAAGGTACGAGAGATTTTCCCTAGATTTTTTGCGTCTCATCTCTATGTTGTTCAGGTTGTTTTCAACATATCCCCTGCACAACTTCTTGGATCTACAATGGTTGCTCTCGTATCATTATACCCAAGTTCGTTTCATCCGTAATTACAAGGGCAACAGAAATAATTTAGTTAAGACTGCTTATCACTGTTCTTAATTGCGAATTTTTCGAGGATGAACGTTTTTAGATAAAATAATATCCTTGTCGAAATATGTGACTGCTTGTAATCATTTTTTCTTTAATGAAAGATTTCTACGACAGCAACT